GCTAATTAAACGTCGTTAATCAAGTGCGTCCCTGCGACTGATGGCGTCGACGCGCGGCCCTCCACAATATTTCATTAATGCACAATCGCGCGCAAACGACTGTTTAATGATCTTCGACGTGACAGGCGGATCGATAGCGACACAGCGGAAAGACGGTATGTATAAAATCGCGGCGCGTATTATATGCCGTGCAACATTTAATTAACGGATAAATCAGCCGGCGACTTAATTCGCGGCCGTGAACATGCGAGCGGCGTTCTCGCGAGTGACAGCGCGCGTCTATATAGCCACCGTCGACGAATCGGAATGACGGATCGCCTTTATTGTTCCACAAGATTAAGTAGCCCCGAGATAAAGGACGGTTGTAAAGCCCACCGCCAACAATGCTATCGGCCGTGCCCGGCGAGCAACGAAAGAGAAGCACCGCAGTCCCAATTGTCGACTTTTAATAGCTTCGTACACGAAAAGGAAGGCTCGTGCCAGGTTCCTGGTGTCACACATCGTCGCGGCTTCGCTCTCCACCCCGCTGATGGCTACGCCATCCTGCGTATGCGCGCACACTTCGGGATATTTGCCCAACGAACTCGTGTGTCCTTGACACGAATGGCGAATGGTATACGCGCGATCGGTATCCGTTCTCGCGGGTCTACACGGCATTGCAATTTCATAATTTACTCGCGATTCGCGCAACCGATATCTTATCGCGATTTATGATTTAGATACTCCCCTGGAGGAAAGCACGGTTTAATACTGTCGTCCGTCAGCGGGACCGGGGGGAGACGAGAAACGTGCGATCGACGGCTGTGTACGATCGTGTGTGAGTTGTAAATGAAACTTTACGGACGATATAAACCCTTGCGACGCTGTGTCGCGCGAGACACTCGTGGCGCGTACCCTGCATATCCTGGTTCGCTTCCAATCATCGTGAGCGCCATAAAGCGTAAGAAGAGACGGCGCGCATAATTGTGTGATGAACGCGTGCTTTTCTTATACGCGAGTCGACATTTACAGCGATAACGGTGGAGCGAAACCTTTTCTGCGTTTAAAGGTCGGAAAGGTATAGTGCCCCAACAAATTCCATCGAGTTCGCAGACCCTATTATAGCGCGGAAAAAAGTCAAGTGTGTCCTTCGGGACCTGAGATAAAAGGGAGCGCAGGGATCTAAGTTCGGGTCGCCTCAGCCGGCTTGAAAACCGGCCGATTTCGCGCACGACAAGAAGAATCGTGCGGCATTTGGCGTTCATTGCCGTACGTTCGCCGGGACAGGCGGGGATCAATTTGCGACAGAAGTTCGCGCCAGAAGTTCCCACCCCTGTCTTGGAATTGCCACCGAATTCCTTTTTTGCGGCGAGGCGCAATTTTCTCTCGTTGTTTGCGCGTCAGACGGATCGGCTGCACGACCTGTCGTATTCGATTACCGTTCAAGTAGACAGCTGATGCGTATCGAGCACACGGAGCGATTCGTAAGGGTCGTTAGGTCGCGACACCGAGACAGCCGCGTGTGACGAAAGAGAGAGAGAGAGAGAGAGAGTAAGAAGTGGGTGGCTGAGAAGGGAAAGAAAAGGGGTAAACGCCAGGTGGACAGTCGGCGCTGCAGAGGAAACGTCAGATTAGAAGCCGCGACTTGTGACCGGCATATTTTTTATTATATAAATTAGCGCACGAAGGTCTTCCCTGGAGAGAAGTTATCGCGTTAATGCCTATTACCACGCACTCTCCCTGCCGCGCTCGCCGCGGACGAACTTGTCGGGCGTGATTTCATCGCACCAACTTTACCCGTGAATGTCGGCAAAGGAAACGAGTGGAAATTGAATGAACCCGAAAGGTCTCGCCGATCGTTATCGGCGCAATGTCACAAAGTCACTTTTCAAGAATACACGCAGAACGTCACGACATTGTCCGAGCCGCGACGAACGTCGGCGTCTCATGAATGCTTTTCGCGGTATTCCACGTACGCGAGAAATTCCGCACGCTGCGATACTTATTTTTTCGACGAAACGGCTGCTTTCTTTAGGCTGCAAATTGACACTTTGCGATAGTCAAGTGATAGTTTCCGCTTTTCCACTAGCGCGAATTCCGATGAAAGGCTTTTTGCCTTTCTGTCTTTTGCTTCTCTGCCAGAGTGTAAATTCTCCCTTAAATTGTCGGAAATCGATTCTCCCTTGTAATTAAAATTCGATGAACTTTCGACGAGTTGATCAGCGGGATATTAATTTCTCGACGGCGATCTAAACTTTCGACATAAATTGGTAATTGTAATAGTAAGTATTTAATTTGCATTTTTTGTAAAGTAGTTTCTTCGATATTATGTAGTTTTTTAATAGAACGAGAATCACCGATCGGGATGGTGCAAGAAAGTAAAGATCTGTCTCGGACACTCACTGTATGAACAGTATGAAGACAAAAGAAATTCATTTTTGCTATGAGGAAAATCCGCAATGCCGTAAAAGTTAGCGAGATGATACCGATGTCAGAAACCCGATACATGTTTTCCAATCGCATTACGTGTCTCAGTTTTCTATCATGTGCCAATAAAGTTAACACCTGCGCTCTACGTAGTTTCATCACCCAAGAGAATCGCAGTGATTCATTTAACGATTAAATGGAACTAATGTCATATACGTTTTAATTGGCGCGACGTTGTCCGCACTGTGAAACGTCGCTTATTGAATTAAGCTAGCCGAGTATTCTCTTTCACAGACATTTTACGACACAAGAAAGACAATCTCGCTGGTTGCCAACAGTGCTAGCGATTTTTGATCGCAATAAGAGAATTGGACGAGATTCGAGTCTGGAGGGACCCTGATACTCCGAAATTATTCAATTACATTAACGACCGTCGACCTTGCCTTCTCGTCTGTCATGGTCACCGCAATGTCTAATTTCGTGGAATATCTACGCCATGCCAATAGATTTCGCGCAGCCGCATTCGGTTCATTTGTAATAATTAAAAATATCCGCAGCGGATGCCGGAAGATACATTGGCGCATTGTATGAAATTTACACACACACACACACGCACATATATATAAATCTCTAAATCACTTCGTACTTATTTCGCTCTCCTTACGTTTTCCCAAGCAGTGAGTTTACTCTATGGAAGCAAGCGGCCCAATTCGGCGTGAACTAATCCCCTATTCAAAGAATTCCCCGGTCTTTCTGAGGGATTTAATCCGAGTCAGTCCCCCTGAGAGGACGCGATGTGCGGAATCGCATTTAAACAGCTGACGGGATTTATCTCGCAACAGCATTCGAGATACGTTATTTCACGTTCTGCAAAATGTAAGTACGCCCGGCAGTATTTAGAAATATCCAAACGCGCGCGCAAGCAAGAATAATTCCCCGAGCTGCGTTCCTCGCACAACGTGATGTCCGCAATGTTCCGTACTAACCGGGGGAACGCAAATTTCCTTGTTAAATTCAAACAAGTTCGATATTAGCTGCGCGCAAACGCATATATTAACATTTCGTTATGGCAATGAGTTTCGACGTACAAATGTATCGTGTTTCCGTCAGTACGCGCGATAATATCGTCCCACCATAAGTATGAAAATGAATGTTCGTATCGCTTAATAATTTGATCAACGTTCAGCCTTGGGCCATATATCGTCGAATTGCGCGAGTGCTGTGTGAGCTGCAGAACGACACTTCGCGTCGCCAGAACCATGAATTTCGAATCTCGCTGTGTGCATCGCCGTGTGCACGGTCCAACCTGCGTTCATCTAATTTCGCGTGCAAATAAAACGTCCCCTTCGATTTGATCGCGCCCGATGGAGAAGGCAAATACATATCACATTATTTACTTTGTGGCGCGGAGTATGCATCTTCCGTTACAATCTTGTGTGTGTGTGTGTGTGTGTGTGTGTGACAAGGTGTACAGAATTCTTATCTAAACAAGCAATCTCTCCGAGGAGAATTCTCGTCGGTAAACCGCGACTATGTAAAAGAAACCCTTGGCGGTTCCTCCCTCTGTTTCTCTCTATCTCTCTCTCTATCCTTCCCCGCTCCCCTTCCCCTCCCCTTTCGCAATCAATTCGGCTCTCCTCTCGTGCACCGACTTCTCTCGCAAGGACTCGAGGCATTTCCGGAGTGATATTGCCAGTGACATGCATTGTCCCATTGTGACATGCAGCTACCCCTTTCCTCCATTTAACCAAGCCCTTCTATACCCTCCGCGCCGCGCAACCGGGATGTTTTACATAATATTGAAAATGAACCTCTATCTCGATGCCTGCGCGCCCCCCGTATTTCACTCGAGGTATTCCCCGGCGCTTCGATTACGTTTCCCCCTTCTGTCGTAGAGAATCCACGCGCGTAGCAAGGAGCGTATACATTTTCAAGTTTTGACCTTTGAGGTAAACCGGTCGCGGTAACGAACGGAGCAAAACCGCGCGTGTGAGCGACATTTACATATAAATTATTGCATTAATCGTTAGCCCAGGGGGGATACGCTGTGTTCCGCGGGAATTATGTCGAGCGAGATTGATGTAAAAAATGTTTAAATCAGTCACCTCGCTCGCACCCGCGGCGCAATGTTGCGGCATAAGCATGATCGTGAATACACCAGAGTCCAGACGCGATCTCGCGAAACGTCGAGAGTATATTATGAAAATTTATGATAATTGAGCGAAATAATGTTCTGTGTTTATACACTCATAAACGTTCATAAAAGAGCCGAGCCTCTTTATCAGATAACCGCGCGTTATCGTGCCACCCTGCCCGCTTAAGTGAGAAAAACAGTGTGATTGCGAGCGCGGAGACCGTCGTCATTGTAATTCCCGTGCGATTAACATAACGTTACGCAATGATATCGGTATCGCGCCGCGCAGAATGTTCGCAAGTCCCGCAGCAGGAAAACTGCAGTTTTATTTGACCGAAGCAATTACCCGCGCAAAACGATCGCCGCCGCGATTGTTTCCGCGACCGCTTTTTCGTCCTCGAGCGGAACGCGGAGAACGCGAAAATGTCGTGCAATTCCATCAGTCGGCCTGATGACGTACCGTGCGTATCGAACTTCTTGATGATGGTCTCGATGATCGTAGTTCTGGGCGCCACGTGACCTCGTCTAACAGGCATCTCAGGAGAATTCCCAGGTACCTGGGTAGCCGAGACTTCCGCGTTCGACCGTGGACACACCGGGCCCCTCTATCAATGACTTATGTATACGTATCGCGCGTAAACACTAAAGCACTAGGAAAACACTCGCGGCGTACGCACGAGCACGGTAGAAAAAAGCACAGCACGAGTTGAGCATAGTGATTGAGCCGTATATAAGACAGAGTAACGTAACGGCTTGACCTCGCGGAGAAGGGGAGAGATTCGTTGCTTGCTGCGGTCGGACGATCCGGTGTTCCGCTTCTTTCGGACTTGTTTGGGGTTCGAGTAAGAAAAGACAACGCGAGGCCTTGTTAAGCGAAGAGGCTCCACGTCCAGGTGGTTCGATTCGCGCGCGCCGAGGGAGAGAACGCGATCGTTGTGTTGTTGTTGTTGCGAGCGTCGCTCGTGGCTCCGAACAGACTGTTCGTGTGTGACCAACTGTTCGCGCTCCGTCACGTCGAGGAGGAGGGAAGGCTCGATGTGTCTCCTATACGCCGACTTTTGGACCCGAGTTCTCGCCTATCTAGGTATACATCTAAGGTCGGCGCGAGCCGTCACGATTCCACCTTCCGTCGATCCAAGGACGCGGGGAAGGTCGAGCCAACGTCGAACGGCCGACATACGTGTCGCGGTGCTGCACGTGCACGCGTTTGCCACTTCCAATGTGCGTCTCTCTTAGGCAGGCAGGCAGGCGCGTCTCAAGAGACGGGATCCACGCGAGAAAACATCTATTTATAGCGGAGGATACCGCGCCGTTTGGCCGGTGTTCTCGTGACTTCCAGGACTTGGCGATTCCCCGGACGTGGCGACGGCGATGGAATTCCGCGCGCGCTGTCGTCGACGGCGGTGCAGAGGGCTACAATAACGTCGACCCCGTCGCTCTCCGGTGGCCGTCCACGCCGCGATATATCATATCTCGACGACAGCGTTTCATCATCGTCGAGGACTTCCGTCCAGTCGTGAAGCTGGAGCGCGTCGGCACGCGCCAGACACAGTGTGTCAAATGTCACGATGCAGTACGGCGCTACCGGATGACCTAGTGCAGGCGAGAGACAGCAGCGCGACAGCGTCGCGACGTTCCGCGGTGGTCGACGATGCGGGTCACCGGCCTCGAGATTTCGATCCTCGAGGAGCTGACGTTCCTGGCCGCACCTTCGCGTACTACTACTCCGCTGACGTAGCTCGACCTCGTGGGATCCGAGTCAAATTTGACGACGACCGAGATCGCGGACTGTGGACGCCTCGGGGAAGCGCATGGCTCGGACATTTCCACGACGTCGTCGGACGAAACTTCCTCGGGGATTGTTCAATCGTTCGCACGCTGGCCGACGTCCCGCGGCGAGCCGAGTCGAGGGCGTAGCGATGTTCACACGCTTATGGTTACGACGGAAAAGGCACGTGGTGTATTTGCAGTTGAGTTTACGCGGAATGCCGCGATCGGATCGATTCCGGCCGGTCGACCCGACGCTAGTCGCGACACTCGTCGACGCTAATCGAATGTCCGGCTACCTGCACCTCTCCCTCTCACCCTCCCTGTCACTCCTCCCGTCCCTCTTTCTCACCTCCCCTTCGCGTTCTCTCTTTTTTTCTCTCGCGCACTCTGTCTGACGGTCAGCTGTGCATCTCCGCTCAAGCACGGGAACAGCTATTTTTGTACTTCTTCCTCATCCTCCGCGACCATGCCCGACCACCGTTGTCGCGGATTTTCCCAGGACCCCTCTCGGCTCATACGGCCACGCCAAACCCCGTAAGACTCGCCGCATGCGACACTTCTCACAAATCGCCGACGTACGAGTGCACGCTTATCGATGAAACCGTGATGAAGAACGTTACCGGGAAATCGGCTAAGATCTCCGGCTGACACGTAACATTTTCATGTACTTGATGCCGGGACGCTCTGTTTGTGGCTTGATAAAACCGAGCTTGATAAAGCACGCGTCTCCTGTACTCTTTTTCTGTACTCTCCAGCACTTGTACTTTCTTTCACTAAACTCTACTCTTCTTTCACTACTCTACCGATACTCCAATTCACCAGCACGTCTCGCGATTGATCTCACTATCAGTCACATGCTTCACGTGGTTTCGCTTATCTCGGCGCTATCGTATCCACACGACGACCCACCACGCCTTCCCAGAGCGAATCGGCAGAGATCCGATGCCCTCTCGCTGACCCCGCCAACTCCTCGACCCTTTCGGGGTAGTTGTCGTCGTCGGTGGAGACACCTGGTTTGCCCCCTGTGCCGTCTCCGGCCGGCGCACTCCAGAGGAAGGTCGCCGAACACTGTTGCTCCGCCGCGTGCTCGTAACCTCCCTCTACCCCGTGCCGCCGTCGCGGGAGCACGAGGGGCGTCTCGAGTGTCTCGAGCTTTAATTCGCACGGCCGATGACAACGTCGCGGCCTCGAGGACGCGTCGCGGATCCTTCTCTCGCTCAAAAGACTTGTCCGTGTCTCGCGACTTTCGCGAGTTTCGCCGTCGTGTTCGGTCGGAGAACTGAGAACGCGAGAGGAGGCGCGAGACGGGCCGACGTCTCTCTCGGCGACGACGACGACGACGACGACGGCGGCGGCAGCGGAGGCGGCGGCGGCGGCGGCGGCGGTGGCGGCGGCGGCGGCGGCGGCGGCGGCGGCGGCGACGACGACGACGACGACGCCGGCGACGTCGGCACGTAACGGGGGGGTCGTACACGGCGCTTGCGTGGTGAACACATCCCCACTCAGGGTCACCCACCACACGACCATACCGCCCTGTCGTCCCACCCGCCACCTACTGCACCATACACCCCCGCGCGGCGTCTACTGATAATATTGATAAGGCTGCACACAGGCCGACCACTGACCACCCTCCTCGTCGGCGCCCTTCTGTCTTCCGGATAGGGGTGACGACGAGCTTCGGGGTCGCGCCGTCGGTGCGAGTTACATGCACGTAAGCGTCAATCTACGAGGACGTAACGACGTCACGCGTCGCCGCTGAGTCGCTCTTTATTTCTCGATATTATTCTATTGTAACGCAACGACGCGTCCGTTTGTTTCTATGTATCATCAAGTTTTGAGAACTATATGTATAAAATGATATTTTAAAGGATGAATTCTCGCAGACCGCTATCTCCGCGCGAAGATTCGATCAAACGCCATCCCTCTCTTTTTGAAGTATCAACGGAAAAAGAAAAATATCTCGTTTGTTTAAAATCCGCTGAAAGCGATACGAGAAGTATAATTTCGGTACTTCTACGCTTCCCTGTATTTTGATATGCGAAGAAATTTCTGTGTCCTTAAGAATGACTTTGATTGTTGACGTCGGCACTTTAATTTAGAATGTTTACAAAGCAGCCTTTGTACGTACAAAAAATACGTTGTGCCGGTGAGCGTGACGTGTTGATCGCGGTTCTTATTCTCGCCATGCAATCGTTGCTGTTTTTATCTGATCGTGCTTGACATAACATGAAATAAATATTTCACGCGCGTCCAAGTAGCAAATGTAAAAGGCCAGCTGGCACGATAAGAAATTCATATTTGTCACGCCCATAAAAATTATCCGAGGATATAAATTTTATTTTACGAATATGAAGTTGATATATGCATTGCCATAATTTGTAAAATTATCATAATACACACATAAATTACGACTTGTGTGCGTAAATGCGACTAAAAATATCTTCTTCTGCTGTTAACTTGCATGATACGAGTTACGCGAAATCGCATATTTGCCGGCACGGTAAGAACTTTACATCGGTCGGAATTTCAACGAGCGACACGAGACACATCCACGTCGCGTATTCGTAGTCTTACTTCGTGGACATGGCGGAATCTATCGGCGAACTTGGTAGTTACGGATATAACTCACGTCGATAACGTCGATACGATGAAGAAAACTGTCGGTAACGGGAGCGAGCTCTGCTGACTCTGCAGTAACTATAATTGACTTTATCAACTGCTCGAAAATATCATCCGCTGTATTGAATTTTCGCAGAGTATTATTTTCCGGATGTTACAACAATTAACAAATATGTTCAAACAAGCTTGACATACCCATGCCATCCACAGGGTTGTATTCCATATAACAAATCCGACATGTTCCAACATATTTGAATATTTGACCGTTTATCTTATACAAATATTCACGCACACATATGCATGTGTGTGTATATGCGCGTAAAAAATCAGTTATCGTTTGAGCATCGAGCTCTCGCGAAAAACGTTATCGCAACTGTAAAAATAGCAAGATCGCGGGAAAATGTTGTATTTTGTCCGAAATCTCCACCGGACGCCATTACATGCAAAGTGCACAAGCACTCAGAATATTACCGTACATACTTTCCGACCGATCGTTGGTGCCCAAGACGTCTCTGCCGGCTGCTCGTCTCTCGGCCAAAGGATACGTAGGTCATCGTCTCGAGGATGCTCTTCTCTCTTGTCGTGACACTCGCGTAATTCGGCCGAATTGAGAAGAAAAGGTGAGCGCGAAACGGACTCTCCGTTCGGCGCCGGGTCCGTTTGAAAACTAATGGAGCCGGCGTCGGCAACGCTCGGCAATCTTCGGCAGTTAGCGCTGCGGTTCGTGGCCGCACGGGGTTCACGAGAGTCGAAGCACGGAGCCCCGCCCTGCCGCCCGCCAGAGCCGTGAAGGAGCAGCAGCAGCAGCAGCTCCGTTTGCTTCGAGCATTTCTTGTGCCGTCGAATGAAAACAATCGTCGACGTTCGTCCGAGCGCCGCTGCCGCCGTTGTGCATCTCGAGCCGTTGAAGCACCGTCGCTCCTCGCTGTGGTCGCGTAGTCGCGATAACCGCTCGTCGTCGTCTTCGTCGTCGTCATCATCGTCGCGGACCCGTCGCGACGGTTAACCTTAAAGGAAGCGGCGGGTGCGGTGGTAGTGGGCCCCTCTGAGGTAGGCCGATTAAACTCGTCATCGGTGCGTTTTCCGCCCGCCAACGGTGATCGCGGCGGAGAGGTGTGACAAGCAAAGTGCATAGTCATCGATGTGAGAGCCGAGGACGACGAGGAAGAGCCGCTGGCGTAGAGGGAGCGAGTGCGAAGAGGCAGAGAGAACGAGAGAGAGAGAGGGAGAGAGGGACAGCGAAGTCGGGAGGAAAGTCGAAGCATCAAGTCGACGGTCGAGGCTCCGTCAGGGAGCACCAGGTATGTGACGTGGTCGTACTTGGCATTCCGAATTCCGGGCTTTTCGCGACTTCCGGATGCGCCGTATTCCGGCCGCCGAGCCGCCCGGCCCTTCGCGCGACTCGATAGCCAAGAGCCATCATGGCGGCCGCCTAGGCCTACGCTGTCAAAATCTTTGCTTGCCGTTATTTCGATCGTACGCCGCCCCGCCGGTACTCCCGATGTCGCGACGCCGATTCCGTCGCGATGGCGGACCCGCCGGGCATCGTGGAATGTGCCGAACGAGAAGATAGCCGCGTCACAAAGCCGCGTTGCGTCGCGCGAAAGCCGCCGTCTCAGCGCACGCGAGAGAGACGGAGAGAGAGAGTGTGAGTGAGTGAGTAAGTGAGTGAGTGAGTGAGTGAGTGAGTGAGTGAGTGAGTGTACATGTGTGAGAGAAAGAGAGAGAGAGAGAGAGAGAGAGTGAGAGACTCGTAACGCCGCTTCGATTTCACCTCGTTTCTCGCCGTCTGTCGTAGTACGACGTCGTGGCGCTTACATTCATGACACGCCGTTTCGACGTTTACACAGCCGACGGCCGGTTTCATCGATGTTGGCTTGACGTGTCTCGACGACGAACTCTCGTCGGCGCACGAACACGGCGCCGAAAATAGATCAAACGTCGTGATTACGCTGAGCGGACGTCTGGATGTATTATCGATAGAATCATTGATCGGGAACGAAGATCCACGACGGAGCACGCGATGCGCGTATATTTTCCAGGGGTCAAATAGAGCGCACAACTCGACTCGTCGCAATGAGTCAGAGCCGGCGCGAACGCGATAACGAGACTCTTCCTGCGTCTCGCCCAGCGACTTTCCTCGTTTGAAGGATTTTCGCGAGGGTCGACTGCGCGCGAGCGATCCTGTCACTTTTACCTCGTGCGCCGGCTCACGCTTTCGCGCTTCTAAAATTAGCCGAATTTTTTTGCCCCGGGATATCGGCGCTCCGCGAACCGGTACTCATTCTGACGTCGTTAATGGTTCAAAAGAAATTACTCGAGATCGTGATTTATTTATACAATCTTTCGTCATTCTGAGAGAGAGAGAGAGAGAAAGAAAGAAATATTGAAAGACGCGCGTCTCCAACGATCAACTTTTCATATTAAACTGAGAATATGTTGTCAGAAAAAAAACATACACGTATAACGTAGCGAGAGGCTTAAGCGTGATCGAGATTGTAAATTATGCGAGTATCAACGCACTCGTCCTCGAGAATGTTTGCGCGTCCGGATACACCGGTTCTCCTTCGGCGACGCGAAGCCCGTGACGTCTGTTTGACGACGGCACGGGTTATCTCGCGGCGCACAATACGCGTAACACGAGTCGCCTTGCATAATACGCCTCGTATACGAGGCTCCCGCGAAAACAAAGTTCGCGCCTGTTCAGCGTAACCGGCGAGTTGGCTTTTCGCGTTGTGAGAACGCGCGAAGATCGGCACAAGAACACCCATTGTTTCTCGCGGTAGACGAATCCATTGCGAACGCGATTGTTGTCGACTAAACTTTGTAGAGAGAGAGAGAGTGTGACGACTTCGATGCTGCTTCTCATTCTCCGAATGCGGCAGCATCGAACGCTCGACGCAGTAACTGAGATTAATTTTCACTCAAGATTCGGATTAATTATCAAAACTATCGCATATATTTTTTACTTAAAATTTGCATCGCTGATGTAACACACCTGTCATTTATCTTCTAAAAATATACCCATTAAATCTTGCAACAGGAATATTATGAGCAAAGTTTAGAAGAATATTGAACAGGGAATTCTGAGAGGCAGGCTATAAATTGCTCGCTTTTCAGTCTTGTTAAGATTATTCGTTAACCGATAATAGCACAAATTTCTATTTCATCTTTCGCCAAATATCGATTCTGAGAACGGAGAGCGTGATGCAACCGCGAAGTCTCTGAATTTTCTTACATAACAACTGGTGCTTGCGTTTGATTTCTGTTAACGCGAACGTGTACGTGCTGGACTTGCATTTTATCGGGTAATCGATATTTTCTACAGTACGAGCGACTTGATCGACTAAAAATAATTTACATTGAACTACATTTATGCAGCTTAAAATTCAGTTCCGCGATCCTTCGTTATTTTAACACGCTAACGAGCTTTCTTTGAATATCGCAAATTATCCGATTGCCTTTTCGGGCCAGCGCGGAAATTCTGACGTCGGCGCGTCGACATATTCACGAGCACCCTTTACGCCGCACGGCGATCAGCCTTATCATTAGGGCAGATAATGTTTCTTCCTTTCTCTTTGCTGTTATCGCTGTTGCTTTTATCGCGAATTCTCAACGATCGCCTCACCTATTTGAGTCACGCAGGAGAAATGACCAATAGCGTAGAGAAAGAGAGAGAGAGAAAAAGAGATAGGGAGAACGCGACTTGTGGATCTTGCGAGAGAGTG